AATATGTAAGTAACCAACCCACAGGTGAAAAATACTAAATGGTAATTGGTGATTATTATAGTTCAAAGGGTGGTAAACTTCTTCGAGGAGTAGATAGTAAATATTTAGATCATAAATAAAATCTATTGCAACTGCTCAAATCTGTCACTAGAAAAAACCATCATAAACTGTATAAGCAATGGGCATAGCTCGATTTGGTCTGCAGGCCTTCCCCAGCCCTGTCCTGTCAACACTAAAGTCTGTATATTTTGTAAGATGGTCAAGGAAAGTTTTATTCAGGAGTTGGAACTTAAGCAAGGTCTTGAAGGCTAGCTGGAGTTTGTTGGGCAGACAGTGAACAGCTGAATGAAGAACAACTTAGGTAAAATAAAGAATGCTTAGCAGACATTGATCAAATCAGCATGGCTAGTTTAGAGACTTGGCTCCTCTTGGACTAGATTTCTATTATGGGGCATTCTTTTAATGTAAAGTATTAAGAAAGCCCTGTCCTCAAGACCATACAACATACTGGGCAAATCTAAATCTGCCATGAAACAGCTTCAGCTCAAGTGCTTACTTCCTCATGCTGGACTGTTTCTGATCTGCTTTCTCCCCTGGCAGAAATGTAATTGTCTAGAGTTAGGTGGCTTAGGTTCACTCTCCAGATCTACTACCTGTTAGCTGTATGAAATTTAGAGCCTTAACCACTCTGAGCCTGACTTTATCTGTAAGATAGAGATCATAATATTATTGTTATTAAGTGAATTTAGTGGAATGATCCTTGTATAAAGTATTGTGTACAGGATTACTGAGAATAGTAAAAGCTCATTAAATGATGGCTGTTATTTTATAGCCTCTAAGTGAGATTGAAACGTTGATGTTGCTTTGTTGGAGTTTTTTTTGATTATTCAAGTTAGTATATGCTCAGTATTACTTGACTATTTCTCAAGTAATAGATTAAATTGTATAGATTAAATCAAGAACCTTTATAAAAAGCTGTAAGTGGTAGAAATATTTGCCTACCTTAGGACACCACAAGAGAACAAATCTCAGTCATTTTAAATTCATAATTCTATGATTAAGAATTGTTCCTTCGCCAGGGATATAGCTCACTGGGCATAAGCACCTGCCTGGTAAGTGCAAGGTGCTGAGTTCACTCCCTGGTACTGGAAAAAACAAACAAACAAACAAACAACAACATTGTTCCTTCCAACATTGTAATCCTAGCACTTAGGAAGCTGAGACCGGAGGATCTCAGTGAGTTTGAGGCCAACGTAGGCTACATAGTGAGGTCAGGCCAGGCTGAGCTCACTGCTTCAAAATGAGACCCTGCTTCAAAAAAATAAATAGGCTGGCCAGATACCTCAGCAGGTTAAAGCGCCTGCTTAGGCAGATGTAGGGACTGGGAGTTTGATCCCTGGTGTGCTGTGCCACCCACGCTCCCAGGGCACACTGAGACAGCGATTGAGACTGGATGGTGGCATGTGCCTGTAATCCCAGTGCTTAGAAGGCTGCAAACAGGAGGATCACTACAAGGCTGATCTATAGTAACACCTTGTAGACCCTGTACTAAAAATACAAAAAACAAAAAGAAATAAAACAACAATAACAAAGAATTCTTCATAAGTGAGTATCTGCTCAGGCTAATAGCCAGTGTTCTCTGATTTGGTGGCCAATCCCAAGAACATTTTATTTTATTTTATTTTATTTTATTTTATTTATTTATTTTTTGTGGAACCGGGGATTGAACTCAGGCCCTTTTCGCTTGCCAGGCAAGCACTTACTCTACTGAGCTATCTCCCTGGCCCCTCCAAGAACATTTCAGAATAATGCAGTTCTAGGTCCTTTCAGGCCCTTCTGCCAAAAATAGACCTCAAACCCAGGATTCAGAGGCTTCCCACAGATGAAGTTCTGCAGAACATGAGCTAACAACATCAGAACGCTTATAGCACATACAGTGTTATATATGTTTTATTTCTTGGTTTATTCTATTGGACAAACACAATTTAAGAGCTGCTGCTTGCCTTTAAGTAGCTGATAATCTGTTTTGCTTTTGTTTTCCAAAGGTGGTCAGTCCTGGGAAGGCTGAAGACCAGAGACAGTGGAGACTATAGTCTTACTGGCCTAACAGGACTTTTCAGCTGCTGTTTTAACTGCTGCACAGAGCTAGGCCTGCCCTCGAGCATGCCAGGCAGTGCAGTGCCCCACACCAAGGGCTAATACTATGTTCTGAGAACACAGTGTCCACTCTCCTACTGTTGTTTCTATTGGTTGCATCCTTTGATACCAGGGATTTCTCTGTTTTGGTTCTCAAAAGCTCCTAGCTACTTAGAATTCTTAGCACTACCCAAAGATTTGATTTTATTTTATTTTATTTTATTTTATTTTATTTTATTTTATTTTATTTTATTTTTGAGACAGGGTCTCACTGTGTAGTTCA